TCAGTTTCTCTTGCTTTGTAAATGAACAATCTAGACATTATGGACCGCCGGTCCAGGTTCTTAGAAAATGCAAGGATTTTTGGTGCACAAAGGGGCTATAGAGGACAAGAGTTAACAACGTTCATACAACGCGAACAGGAAGAATGGGACTCGATGATTGCTCGTCATGCAGCGGAGAGGGAAGAAGAAGAGAGAATGTGGCAACTTGAAGAAGAAGAAGATGCTAGACAGTTGCAACTCCAAGAGGATGCAGCTGTCGAAAGAATGAAGCTTCTTCAAGAAAAGCTGCATAACTATCGACTACTTAGGCAGGCAAAGAAGAGAGAACTGCAGTTAGACACAGGGAACGGTGAGAACAACATCCAGGTGGTTCAGGGAAATGACAACTCCCATACTGACACTCTGGTAGAAAGATCAGGGACTCACTCTCTCAATGGAGAGGTGTGTACTATTGCGCCAAATGGTACCTCATCAAATGATGAAGTAATAGACCACCCAAGACCTTGCCTCACCTCTCTTATTCCTTATAGGAAAAGAGTGGACATCAATAATTCTTTGACAGGAATCAGATCTACATTTGCTGAACCCCCTGTATTCTCTATTTGCCCTGATAAGCAAAATGAGAAGCCTCCTGTCCCCACAAGGAAGCGAGGACAGAAAACAAAGAAATCTTTCAAAAAGGATCAGATCCACATTGCTGAACCCCTTTACTCCCCTTAACTCAGATGAGCAAAGTGAGGAGACTCCTCCTGAGCCTAATGGGAATCATGGAAAGGAGAAATTGTACGTGGGCACCCTTAATCGTCATACCAGTGACAGACTAACCTCAAAACACCACATCCGATTCATTTAACTTCTTATGTTCCTTAGTGAAAGAAGGGAATCGGCATGTTCCGAAAGGGAAGTGTAGGACTAAGAGGACCCCGAACACATCGAAACAGCAGCCACCAACGTGATAACTGCTGGAACCGTAAACATGGCGGTTTGACTGGGACACTAGCCAATAATGAAAGGGAAGGTAGCAAACCTTCAGTGACTATATGATGCCCTTCGTAAGGTTAAACAAGAAGTGGAATCATGGCAGCATAGTACAGAGATAACAGTAAATCTGTTTCTTTCATTTCCCTTGATGCAGCCACATGCAATAGGGAGATGAGTATCAGTTCTGATTTGGCATCCCAGATGGGTGACTGTGATGGCAGCAGCACTCAACTTTATTTACTCCCTCTGGACAGGGTCCATAAAAGCTTGACCAGGGAGGAAATAACCGACACAGAGGATACTTTCCCTGAGGTCTTTGCAGAGTATTCTGGGAAGGAAACTCTTGATGAGCAGGAAATTCCCGTAAGCCTTATTAACGTTGAAAATGGTCAAACAGCACTGTTTGCCATCAACACAAAAGAATTTACTTCTTTTGGGCAGGGAGAGAGCCTATCTCTTGCCTGTGCAGCTGACACCACAGGGGAACTTCAGATGAAGGACCTTGTGGCTAAACAAGCCAAGAGTAAAAGGGAAACCGAACACTCTGGTCTTAGAGTACTCTTCACTTCGAAAGATGCGACAGGAGTAACTCAGCTGCCGGTGGAAGCTTCTGTCCGAAGCAATACCACCTTAGCATCTTCAGAAAACGAACCACTTCTGACTGATGTGACTGTATTTACTGAAACTACTTTCGTGCTCTGATTCCGAAAGGAGCTCTATTCATGAGAAACTCACCCCGATAAATTATGAAGGGGAGGACAAAATGCACACAGGAGGGAACAAGGGGACACCCTACCAAGAAAGAGTCAGTGGGAAACTGCGCCAAACATCATGGTACCCCGATGGACGCCATCCCTTATACCAAAAGGAAAGTGACAGAATGTACTAAGATTGATAATCGGTGGAGGAGAATAGCGGAAGATAGTTGCACTGTGACTCTTCCATACAAGCAGCCCTACAAGCTTCTACCTCTTTTGATAGGGCAGAATCTAGGTACAGTGTGGGCTAAGCCTTGTTATCAGGTTGGCCTTGGTATCTCAGCATCCAGACCCACGAAATCATTGATTCTGGGGGATGCAATACCTCCGGACAAACGGTCAGTACACCACTGGTGCATGCATTTTAAGCACATCTACTGGACAAGACATTGTCATAAAGACTACTGGAAGTTCAGACCAGTGGAAGTCTTGGGAGCCAGAAAGTGGTAGTCTGGTATTCTTGTTCTACTTGACAGCGATCTTAGCATTCTTACAGAAAGCTTCGAAAGGGGGGCTTCTGTCGCGAGACGCCGCTTCAAGTAGACAAGATACTTTTGGCTGACGTACCACCCCCTTTGTGACCCTTCTATTTTTCTCTCTTACATGCGCCCAGTGACTTCATTTTTCGTCATAAGACGCATTGAGAGATATCCCGGTTATAGCCTACGGTTGCTGTTTGGGGATTTTCCATTGTCTTATTTGTAATTCCCCTGAGCTTTCACGTATAAAAATATACGGCTAGTAACTCGGCAACGTAGCGGGAAAATCCTGGCCAAACACCGGATCCCGCTGTGAGAACAGACGGCCAGCCATTTTTTTTACTTCAGGGCAGCTAGCAGGAGTTAGAGCGGGCCGTTTTGGCAGAACTTTCTCTTTCCCGCCGCCTAAAAACCCTAGCAGCATGACCATATAGTTACATCTAAATCCAGCTGCTGAAAAGCCGAGGACAGATTCCTTGTTCCTTGTGGCAGGACGAGCTTCCAAACCACTGCCAGGCTGGTCGTAGCTGATGATTAAAGTGCCCTAAGGAAGATCTTGGTGCTTGAGACAGATCCGACATTCCACCTCAGTCTTTGAAATGGATGATCCTCTGGGAAACTCCAGGTGGTAATTGTTGTATGTTATTTCCCACTGATCCTCTCACGACGACAGTTTTCATGTTACTATCATTTTTATCTTTCATCCTACTTAGTTTGAATAATGTATTTCAAAAGTAAATAGATGTATGAATTTTACTTTAATTTTAATAAACATTCCTATGATTGATTTACACTCCTAGTTAAAGTTTATTTCTATTTCTAGATGTGTATGGTTGTCAGTGCTGTCTACCCAATATACATAGTCTAGATGGGGCTTAATTTTATTACCAGAAAGGGAAATTGTCGGGAGGGGTAATCTGCTCTGTCTAAGTGGTTAGGCATCTAAATTCCCTTATCCCTTTTCTGGGGATATTCAGGCAGCTCACCTTTTTTCGCGAGCCAATTCGAGTCTGTATCTGAGTATCCAGGGACACTGTCTGCTCTTTGCACCAAAAGACAGTTGTCTCGGTTTCTAACAAGATAACACCACTTTAGTGAGTGTAAAAGGAACCTGTTCCACGACAGAAAGAAAGAAAGAAAGAAAGAAAGAACAGAACAGAACAGAACAGAAGACCACACACGTATACATGTAACTGAAAAGATAAAACAGTTAGTAAGATTTAAAAAAAAAAAAAAGGAAAGATGAAAGGAAAAAGAAAAAGGAGTGTAAAGAGAAGAAAAAAAAAACAAGTAAAGTTAGAAGAAAGAAAGTAAACAAGTAAAGTTAGAAAAAAAATAATAAAAAAAAAAAAACATGAAGAAACAGTACAAAAAATTACAAGTACAAAAAAGGAGGGGAAAAAAAAAAAAAGCAAAACAAAGCAAGAAGAAGAAGAAGAAGAAGAACGAATGGACAAACTTTATTTTCAAAGGTTACAAATTGGGCACTCAGGCCCGTCTGACATTCTGCCCTTCTAGGCACTCATTTTTCAGAGTACAAATACCTGTTATCAATAATGCATGTTATGGATATAATAAAGAAATATAAATTATAGAATAATGCATACACACATCAAGTGTACACAATTGTACACACTCACACACATGTATACATACTTCTACGTTCTCATACATGCAAACTCATATACAGACATGTGATACATACACACGCGTATCTACATACAAATACAAACATAAAACACATACACATACATAGACATAAATGCACAAACAGAAAACACACAGACATACATTTATGGACATACATGCACACACACATTCAATACATACACACCTATAGATGCATCTATGCATACACACATACACAATCACATGTACAGACACCACCATATGCCCACAACCACACATTTACAGTTACATGAATACATACACCCACATACAAGCATATATACATTCACACATACATGCATACATACACATACATGCAAACATGCATACATACACACGTTTATACATACACTCACATCTTTACACACATACAAACATACTTAAATACACACATATACACCCACATACTTACACAGCTAAATATGCATACATACATCCACCAACATGCATACGTACACATATAGGTACATACATACATGCATGCATGCATACATACATGCCCACACACATTACATACATAGACACAATGCATGCATACACACATATATACAATCACCTATACAGATATTGCATACATACACACATGCATACCTGCACACATACAGAAGAAGAAGAAGAAGAAGAAGAAGAAGAAGAAGAAGAAGAAGAAGAAGAAGAAGAAGAAGAAGAAGAAGAAGAAGAAGAAGAAGAAGAAGAAGAAGAAGAAGAAGAAGAAGAAGAAGAAGAAGAAGAAGAAGAAGAAGAAGAAGAAGAAGAAGAAGACAACGACGACGACGAAGAAGAAGGAGAAGCAGGAGGAGGATGAGAAAGAAAAACTCGAAGACAGAAGAAAACTCATAAAGGAAGAAAAGAACATGTCAGAAATAAATTTACACTCTCGAACAAAATCGTTGTCTGTTCCGCTGACGACGCTAGGGTGTCATCATACACGAATCAGTGACGTACCCCACAACATGTCGTTACAATTTGTAAAAAAGACAGTTGCTGAACCTAACCGATTTTTTAAAGTAAATTTTCTATAAAAGACAGTTTATTTTCCTTTTTACAAGAACTGTTTTGAAGTGCTCTACATCAATTTTGATACAGCAAAGTTCTAGAACCAAGCGGCAAAGGAATGAACAGTAAGTTTTTAATCGTTCATTGTTTATAAGAGATAATTGTCTTAGTTGCACGTCAGACGTATCCACAAGACAAGTGCCCTGGTCTTGTCCCTAGCAAGTCTTTTAGTATGTTTACGGTGACGACTCCTGGTCAGTACTGGAAAGTGTAGCTACTAAGGTGGGAAGTAAGTTATGTAACCGACAGATTGTCCTCATTGCACATCCGACACATCCATAAGCGCTCGGATCTTATCTTCAGTATATCCCTTAGCATGTGCCGACTGATAACAACAGTTAACACCAGTTTTATAGGACACACACTGAGAAAACAGGAGAGCAGCATAACTAGAATGTCTTTGCATTGGAATCCACAGGGGCATAGGAATAAATGAAGGCCAAAAAAAAAAAAAAAAAAAAAAAACGGAGAAGAGAGCTGGAGAATGAAGATAGAAAGATGGGGAGGACATGGGGAGAGCTCCATCATGGAGTCCATGCAATGGCGAAGAATAGAACGAGTTGGCGTGAGTTGGTTGAGGGCCTATGCTCCATAGGGGGATAGAAAGGCAGAAGATGAAGAAGAATTCCTCTTTGGCTACCTTTATAGAGTTCTAACTAGGGTGGGAAACTGTGTTAAAATGCTAGGCAGAACTGTAAGATTACAGCATGTGAGATGAGCCGTATAAGCAATGAGACGAAAACAACAACAAAACAGACAGAACTAAGAACAATGAAAGGGACAGTACCGATCAAAGATTCAACATAACATCAAAGAATCGAATGGTTTGATCATCTGGTCAGAATGGAACAAAATCAACCAGCAGCTAGAGCATACTAGATGAGAACAGCAGGCCACAAGGCAAGAGGCCGACCAAGAAACAAATGGATGGAGTGAGTAAAAGAGACTCTATAAAAGAGCCATATGACATTAACACAAGATGGGCAAATGACGAAAGATAAGGCACTTCATCTTCCCTCCAGGACGCATTACGGCATAAGAAGTAGGACACCAGAAAAAAGGAAGAAGAGGAAGAAGAAAGAACGTGTGTTGTTCGTGCCCGCGAGACGCTGACAAATATTTACTTGCGGCCGAGATGAGGTTCTGAAGAACATTGTGCTGAGTGGTCTCGAGGTATGGCCTCCAGCTCGAATGCTGGAGGTCCTGGGTTTAAACCCCGGTGAAGGCTGGGATTTGTTCACGTGGACTTCAAGTAAGTTCCCCTGATCTCTGCCTAGTTAGATCGGACGCCCGTGTGTATTGTTGCGGAAATCGGAAAAAAAGAGTAGTTAAAGGTCTACCCAAAGAATTTTAGGATCATCGCCAGTGCAATGGAGTTGGTACACTGCGCTGAGATTCTTTAAACTTAAGCTTGAGTTAGATGTAGAACGAAGCACTTATGGGTTACATCCTTGTGCCATCATGTTGATCCGTCGAATAAACATAAAAAAAAAAATTAAGATGAAATCTGTAAACAGATTAGAATCATAAGACATAGACAGTCAGTGTTTTTCAAACTGTGAGAATGCTTGCACTCGCGGTAGTGGCAACATCGATGGAAGAAGAGCGAAAGGAAGACACACACACACACACACACATATATATATAAATAAATATATATATATATATATATATATATATATATATATATATATATATATATATATATATATATATATACCTAGATGGCTTAGTCATATGAATGGGGCGAGAAAAGAGCACTGATATGATCCGTGATTCTAGCTATAAATATCTTCTTCTTCTTCTTCTTCTTCGCGTTCACGGGCTGTAAACTCCAGCAGAAAGTTCTAGCTGCTAGTCCACCTCTGAACTTTAGTCTTGTTCCAATACCTAAGTTCTGCGTGTACATCCATTTTACATATCTGAATTATGTTATGCAGATTGTTGGTTCCTTGCCTCTCAGGCATATACACTGCCACTTCGAAGAAAGCCCCTAGTTTGCCGACTCTTACGACATGCTTGTTGGGGAGGCAGTGGATCTATTCTTGTTGTCCCTACAATAGGGCCTCGGAATCCACACAGGCAGAGACGAAGTATGTCAGCCAACGCTGATCGTTACATCAGATGATGTTGGGAGAAACAATGGGCTCTTCCATGGATCACCTGTGTCGGTGAAACTGCTACAGGCGTCATCCGTACTGGAGCTCTTCGCTGGCTGCTGAAGATGAGGACGGATTGCTTATGATAATGTCTTGAGTACTGTGATGTCGATTGTTAGCTCAACACTTCAGTATCGTAATCCGACACAGCAATATTTCATATCTGAGTCAGGAAGAAATAACCGTCTTAACATGAATCACTTCTTTATGTCCATTGAAGATCGATTTCCCAGGGCAGTGTTTCGAAAAAAACTTTTCTTAGTCGCGGCGCCATTTTATAATTAAAATGTTTCCATGGAGCCCTAACCTAAGTAAAAGTATGACTATACGTACGTAAGAGGTTTAAAAAAAAAAAAAAACTTGTGTATCTTCGAATATGTTGCGGCGCCCCCGTGAAGAGGTCGCGGCTCCCCGGGTGCCGCGGCGCACAGTTTGGGAACCATTGTCCTATGGTGACATAACTAATAAACAGGGTGGCCTAGTTGGTTATGCGCCTTAGTTACACTTCTTTCCGCACCGAAGCACTTTCGTCATTTCTTGGTAACAGGTTGCATCCCCGACATGGACACGAAAGCTTTCAATTTTTATGTTGTCCTATCTATCAACTTCTAACTATGAAAGCTCATCAATACAAGTTTGATTGTTTACGCATCTAAACACAAAGTCCTGGAACATGCGCAGAAATGGACGAAGTACCAGGGCTTTCTTTGAAAGTTCCTAGCCGGTAAAAGCGAATAATAATAATAATAAGAAGAAGAAGACGAAGAAAAATAAGAAGAAGAAGCAACAGCAGCAAAAGAAGAAGAAGAGGAAGAAGAAGAAGAAGAAGAAGAAGAAGAAGAAGAAGAAGAAGAAGAAGAAGAAGAAGAAGAAGAAGAAGAAGAAGAAGAAGAAGAAGAAGAAGAAGAAACATATTGCAGAATTAAAGGCTTGGCACATCTCGCGGGATCTCGTGAGAAGCATAACTTAAGAATGAAACCAGGCGAAGCAGAAACATGTAACGTAATATATATATAGTGAGACATTGGGGGGGGGGGGGGGAAGCACATACAAAGTAAATCTGCAATTGTGTGTGAAGGTGGGTATTCTGCCGATCTTACTGATCAAAGAATTGACATCATAACACACCAGTCATACCCATATGTGCTCCGTCTCCAGCAACGATGTTGCTATAGATAGGCGGGTATTTTGGATGTGTAGTTCGGATGGTTGATAGACCTGTAGATTAAGTTTCAGATTTTATCCACAGATAAGTCCGAGATAACCAACTGTGGGAGGACGGATTCTGTCAGACTGCCAGGAAATGCACTCGATACCAGCGAGCAGGGCATCCGTCTCATGGGGAAGACTAATCATCGAGGTGAGATCGTTGTCTACTCCCTTTCCTCGAAAGTAAACTAAAGAGCATATTACCGTGCATTGAAGCAAATACGGTATATGATGATAATAACCCATGTTTTTTTTTTAAAGAAACAAAGTCTGATAATGACGACGATAATGTTGACAACGATGGTAGAAGTGTTCTTCGTTTGTCAATATCTATTTATGCCGCTAGGTGTCGCAGCTCAACGGACGATCGGCAGCCGAGCTTGATATGCCATGATGTTATGTAGTCTAAAGGTGTCAGTGACTTCTTCAATCCATCTTCTTCTCGGTCTTCCCCTGCCTCTTGATGTTTCGATTTTCAGATTGTACGCTCTTGCTGCTGGCATCGTTGGTTTCATTCTTGTTACTAGATGGCCAAACCATTTCATTCTCCGTTTTTCAATAAATTTGACGATGGGTGTTGTTTTAACAGTTCTTGTGATCACGTCGTTTCTCACTCGATCTCTTCTAGCTTTATTCACAGCCATCCTCAAACATCTCATCTCACTGGTGGTTAGTTTTATTTCGTGTTTTTTTGTGATGGTAGAAGTGATGCTGATAATTTTATTTTATTTTCTGTATCGTTGCCCGGCTGCAAACTCTGGTTGAAAGTTTTGTTTGACTGTTCACGCCCCGACTTTGCTTTTGATCCAGAACTTGAGTTTTGCGTGTGCATCCGTTTTACACATTTGGCTTCTGTTTATGCAGACTGTTCGGTGTTTGCTTCTCAGTGAAATTCACTGCGACCAGATGTGAACACCCCTAATTAGTTGCTTCCTAAGACATGCAGTGGATGATGATGATGATTTAGGTGATGGTAAAATAAAGCTGACACTGACGATAATTGCATGATAATAATGATAATAACGATGATAAGGATGACGACAAAAGCGTTGATAATGAAGATGATGAGTATGATGGCGGTGATCATATCGACACCTCAACTACGATGAACGGAGTTTTATTTTCCTTTCACCAACAGCAGACATCCTAGAACAAAGCATCAGCAACAGCACGGCGACAACTGCAGCAACAATAATTTTGGGCGACAAGACTGGGGATTCCAACAACTGTAACAGCAACAACAGCAGCATCCGGTGCAACAGCAGCGACCTGCAAACACCCGGTCTCCGCTCTGAGGCTCAGTGCTTCCCTCACGGTGATGCAGACAAATCGGCGGCCATTGTCGCCCGCGATGAGAAACCGGAACTTGCCGTCTCAGCCTCGACTTCGGAATCGACCTTGACCCCCGACGGGACAGGGCAGGACGAGGTCACCTTCTGCGACCCCAGACAAAACCAGGTGTTTCAGGTGTTGAGTGGTGTCCAGCAACTTCGGCGGAGTGGTCAGTTTGCGGATTTAACGGTCAAGGTTCGAGACCAAGAATTCAGGTAAGTTAAGAGTTTTACCGAAGTTGTTAACTCTTCTAATGATAAACTACTGGCCGGACGTTAGGAACACTGGCTTCTCATGCTGGAGATCCAAGTTCGAATCCTCGAGGATGTTGGAGATTTCTTTTCGGTCGGGTGCAAAACTAAAATCCATACTTGCACAGTCCGATGCGATATCACAAACCATGCTGCCCTAAATCCTCAGACTCCGCGACATCACTATCATCCTTTGTGTGCCTTCAGACGGCACATAGGGCTCGCAATCGATTCTTCCGCTCTGCTCTTTTACGTGCAACTCTCTCGATTTCTGACACGCATTTTATGCCCACCCCACCCCCACCCCACTTTTTTAACTCTCCTTTTTGCCCACACCGCAAATTTTTTGTTGTTGAAAATTACCTATGGAAACAATTTTGTAGGGGTGCATAGTTAGTCATATATCTAGTACACTTGTTTCCATAGCAAGGCGCACACGTCGTTTGGGGGTGACAGGTTCTATTACCTACAGGGTAGCTGTAGCTTTCAATTTGTATGTTGTCAGGTGTGTCCGTCTATCTTTCTACTTCTTTCTATGACTGCCGATCATTACCTTGTCTGCTTGTTTATTATATATCATCAGTGATTATACTGCTTATACCAAACTTTTCTTAGTCGCGGAGCCTTCTTCTTCTTCTTCTTCTTTTTTTCAATTCAAATTTTTCCACGGCGCCCTAACCTAAGTAAAAGTATGACTATTATTATAATGTAAGAGATAAAAACAAATAGAACTCGTGTATGTTCGAATATTTCATGGCGCCCTTGTGAGGAGGTTGCGGCTCCCGGTAGCGCCACGGCGCACAGTTTATAAATCACTGTTCTAGACACTTAAACGGTGCAGCTTGTTTTAGCTGGTGTTTTGTTTACGCTTATTATTTCTGGTTTTCAATATTTATTTTCATATTTCATTTCTGGCAACAGGCGTTGGAAGCTATCCTTATCCTTGTAGAATAGGACAGGATCGTCTGCAGGTACAGGACACCGCAAACTTAACGTTCTCGAGCACAGAATGAAGTCTCCACAATCCGCACAATGTAGCTGTCAAACCCCACTGCACACACATGATTACCGCACAATGTCGCTACAAAACCACATTTCAAACACATGAACACCGCACAATGTTGCTGCCATAACACACTTCAAACACAAGAACACCGCACAATGTTGCTGCCATAACACACTTCAAACACATGAACACCGCACAATGTTGCTGCCATAACACACTCCAAACACAAGAACACCGCACAATGTTGCTGCCATAACACACTTCAAACACATGAACACCGCACAATGTTGCTGCCATAACACACTCCAAACACATGAACACCGCACAATGTTGCTGCCATAACACACTTCAAACACAAGAACACCGCACAATGTTGCTGCCACACCAAACTTCAAACACAAGAACACATGCTGCAGAACTGCCCCCAGCAGCACAATCTCCGAAAAAACACATGGCCATACGAAAGGACCCAACCTTGACTTGTTGCTGACGTATCACTTTCTGGAGGCAACAGCACCGAGGATATGCGCATATGAAACTAATCGCAAAGAAGTAGAAGAAGAAGAAGAAGAAGAAGAAGAAGAAGAAGAAGAAGAAGAAGAAGAAGAAGAAGAAGAAGAAGAAGAAGAAGAAGAAGACGGAAAAGAAGAAGAAGAAGAAGAAGAAGGAAAGTGATTTTCTTGAAAGAAGGATTTGGCACTCAGGCGACTGTGGCGCAGTGCCAGCTGTTGACATACAAAAGATTATGTGTTGATTTTACGTCTTTGAAAGTAATACAACTGCTGTAACATCCATTGCTTCCCTCCACATTTCCGTGAAAGATGTCATCGTTTTGTTCTGGCGGCAAACTCTCCCTTCCTTCGCTCCATGATTGAGGACCACAAGCAGACGAGAGGGGAGATGGAGCAGGAGAGGCTGAAGCTCAACGACGGTGGCGACAGCAACTCGGCGGAGATGAATGACAACAACAACAGCAACAACAACAACTGCAGCAACAACAACAGCAACAACAACAACTGCAACAACAGTAACGACAACATCAGTCACATGTGTCCTGGTAACAGTGGTACCGCCATGAGCAGTGACTCAAGCAGCAGTGACATCATCGTTCTGAGGGGCATTCAACCGGAGGTGTTTTCAAAGGTAACCAGCATCATCTTTAGCCTGTTAACTATCTTCAATAGCGTTGGCGTGGCTATCATCATTATCATCATCATTATAATCATCATGATTACTACCATCATCAGCATCACTATCAGCACCACCACGACGACCACCATCAACATGATTCCCGTCATCAACCCGATCTTCGTCATCATCGTCACCGCCACCACCATCATCATCATCATGTTCCTTGTAATACACATTCCAATTGTAGGTTGGAAAAAAAAATCCGAACAAGTCCATTCTGCTGACTGCAGCATTGTTTATATATGTGGTGTGGGTTTTTTCTTTCTGTCTGAATTCAGATGTCTTTGTGGCAGTATTGACGGTTTAGTTTCCGTAACTAAGTGTATCCTTTTCATGTCTGTTTATATTTTGTTTCACAATGGCTCTTTTGACCATGTTTTTCGAATTTCCGTTTTTCTGTGACCTTCCAAGTCGTTAATGAATCTTGTTACATGGCCAAACCATTTGACGTATTATGTTTCCTATAAAGTTCAGTATAGGTTCTGTGTCGACTCTCCACCTGGTATCATTGTTCCTTAGTCGATCTTTCCTCGATATACCCAGCATAGTGCGTAAACATTTCATTTCTGTCATGACAATTTTCCACCTGTCTTCTGAAGAAAGCGTCCATGTTTGACATTGAAAGCCTATGAGAATATTGCGTTGAGCCGTGTTATTTTATTGTTCATATTCACATACTTGCATTTCAGAACTGCTGCCATGTGGCCTAGAACTTGACTGGTTTTACTGCATCTTTGTTGAACACAACATACAAGCTTTAGGTAGGAACCGATAGTGCATCGCTCCAGACATTTCTATAACTGCTTCGTTTCCACAGTCTTCAGCAGCCATCTCAGAGTTCCATTTCTGGTGGTGCCAGTAGCAGTTGGATTGTGTGTCCGTCTTGCCTTTCTTCTGATTGTAGCGCGTCGGCCGGATCCCCTTGTTCAATCAGCGCGTCGGCCGGATCCCCTTGTTCAATCAGCGCGTCGGCCGGATCCCCTTATTTAATCAGCGTGTCAGCCGGATCCCATTGTTCAGTAAGCGCGTCAGCCGGATCCCCTTGTTCACTCAGCGCGTCGGTCGGATCCCCTGGTCACTCAGGGCGTCGGCCATATCCCCTGGTCACTCAGGGCATCGGCTAGATCTCCCTGGTCACTCAGGGCATCGGCCAAATCCCCTGGTCACTCAGGGCATCGGCCATATCCCCTGGTCACTCAGGGCATCGGCCATATCCCCTGGTCACTCAGGGCATCGGCCATATCCCCTGGTCACTCAGGGCATCGGCCATATCCCCTGGTCACTCAGGGCATCGGCCACATCCCCTGGTCACTCAGGGCATCGGCCGGATCATCTGGTCACTCAGGGCATCGGCCATATCCCCTGGTAACTCAGGGCGTCGGCCATATCCCCTTGGTCACTCAGGGCATCGGCCATATCCTCTTGGTCACTCAGGGCATCGGCCATATCCCCTTGGTCACTCAGGGCATCGGCCATATCCCCTGGTCACTCAGAGCGTCGGCCATATCCCCTGGTCACTCAGGGCTTCGGCCGGATCATCTGGCCACTCCAAGCTGTACGAATCTCTCCAGACCTTGGGGATCTTTTGGTGCTTCTAACTGTTGACGCTCTCCCAAAGAACCGTGTGCACATCTCGCTTGTCATGCATCAATTGTATCACCAGCCAGTGGTGCAGAATCGGTCAGTCTGTCTGCACGTTTCTATCTAAATACAGCTGTATACCAGAGTAACACGAAAAAAAAAAAAAATACTAATTGCCTTGGGGCCTCGGAAGCCATGGATACCACGCTTCACGGAACATACCTATATATCTTCCCCTTTCTCAGCATGCTTTATGCAACTGTTACAAGTATGACATTTGTGTGCAGCAAGTATTGGGGCCAGTTGAAAGCAGCCACGACTGCCTCCACCTCCACTCTCAAACTAAAGTCGGCACGTTGTTTGTAATTAGCATTAGTATTTTTGTCAGACTTGATTGATTGGTATCCCATACTAAGCTATGTTGTACTAAGGGTGGCCCATTCGCGTTTGAACACCTATTCACCTTTTTTGCCTTCAAAGAATCCTCTCTATAGATAAACACATAATCTGGGCGGAAATTATCATTAATCAGTTGAAGACAATTTTAAATGCATTGTGGGTCTATTGCGATAAAGACATTTGTATGCAGCTGGTTCTGAAGCCATCGAAAAGCTGTGGAGACTGCCTCAATCTCCAGTCTCAAACTAGCTGGTGTATATCATACACTTGGCTTTGTTGCACTTTGGGTCGTTTATTCGCTTTTGCTATGAATCGAAAAAATACACGTGCAAAGAAGTTTATGTTGTTTGAACCTCACTTTCAGATCCTGGACTTCATGTACTGTGTCTTTGATGAGGTCCTCAACGAAGACAACGCCTTGGACATGCTCCTGGCTGCTGACACGTTCCAGCTGACTTATCTGAGGCGAACATGCGCCTCGTTTATTACCGAAGCCCTGTCTGTGAAGAACGTGTTTGACGTCATCAGACTGTGTGACTCTGGATGCGCCCACCTGTTTGAACCCAAAGTGCTAAGACGCAGCCGACAGGTAGGGCTTGGAATTGTGCAAGATAAAAGGATTAAATATTTTGTAGATGGATGAATGGAGGGATAGATATATGACCGGATGTATGGACTGAACGAAAGAACTTTTTTTTTTTTTCAAAGGGTTATGAATTAGGCACGCAGGCCTGTCTTACATTCGGCCCTTCCAAACTTCCATCTTTCGCACAGCAGTTGTATTTCATCAATTAAGCATGTTATATTTATGTAATAATATGATATCATATATATATAAAGTCAAAAACAAAAGCATGGGTGGTAAAATATTTGCGCACGCTCACGCGCGAACACACACACCCACATACACACACAAGCCAAATTACTCACTTACACACAAACACATAGGCACCCAGTACACACATGCATCTACATACATACGAACATGCACACACACATACAAACACACATACACACATACACACACACATACACACATACACACATACACACATACATACATACACACATACATACATACATACACACACACACACACACACACAGACACACACACCGGACACACACACACACACACCGGAAAAACACACACACATACACACACACAAACACACACACACACATACATACACACACATACATACACACACACATACACACATATACACACACACACACATACACACATACACGCATACACACACACACACATACACACATACACACACACATACACACATACACACATACACACATACACACATACACACATACACCCATACACCCATACACCCATACACCCATACACCCATACACCAATACACCCATACACCCACCCATCCACCCACCCACCCACCCATCCACCCATCCACCCACCCACCCACCCACCCACCCACCCACCCACCCACCCACCCACCCACCCACCCATCCATCCATCCATCCACCCATCCATCCATCCATCCACCCATCCACCCATCCATCCATCCACCCATCCATCCACCCATCCATCCACCCATCCACATACCCACCCATCCACATACCCACCCATCCACATACCCACCCATCCACATACCCACCCATCCACATACCCACCCACAGACCACATACCCACCCCATCCACATACCCACCCATCCACATACCCACCCATCCACATACCCACCCATCCACATACCCACCCATCCACATACCCACCCATCCACATACCCATCCATCCACATACCCATCCATCCACATACCCATCCATCCACATACCCATCCATACATACCATCATCCACATACCCATCCATCCACATACAAATCAACATCAACATACCCATCCATACACATACCCAGCATCCACAATACACCCATCCATCCACATACACCCATCCATCACACATACCCATCCATCACATACCCATACATCCATCCATCCATTAATCACATCCATCCATCCATCCTTTCATCCATACATCATCCATCACATACATACAATACACTAACATACATACATCCATACATCATACATACATCTCATACACAACAACATACATACATACATACATACTAGATTACATACATACAAGACAGCCATCATACATAACATACATACAGACAGACATACATACATACATACTAGACATACAGACATCGGCATACATACGTACATACAACATAATATACATTACATACATACATACAGACATACAGACATACATACATACGACATACATACATACAGACATACATACGACTACATACAGACATAAGAATAAGAAGGACAGACAGACATACAGACATACAGTAGAATAATATTGCACACAAGAACTCTTCTGTTGTGGAGATGTTTAATGCCCGTCGATTTGCAAACAGACATCCCCTGTTGATCAATGTAATCCATTGTAAGCAGATGAACATAATCACATAGCAAGCATAACATTTCGTTCAGAAAGAAGCCAAATCAACGGATCACTCTAGCGATCTCTCTTTACCGATGAGAAGCCAAAAGAACTAATTATTCTGGAAATCTGTATCATTTGGTGAGAAGAAGCCAAACGAATTATTTCTCTAACAATTGGTGAGAAGAAGCGAAACGAATTAATCTGCTAACAAACTGCATTCATTAGATGTTTAAAACAATAGTTGGGCCTGTTTGGCGCAGTTAAGCTAGCACAGATGCAGTTATCTGGCGACGCTCTGTCGTGTGAGGCCAGTTCACGGCGTATATGGCTACCTTTCCATGTTCTTGTTCTTCTCGTTCCTCTTGTTCTTGTCGTTCCTCTTGTTCTTGTCGTTCCTCTTGTTCTTCTCGTTCCTCTTGTTCTTCTAGTTCCTCATGTTCTTCTCGTTCCTCTTGTTCTTCTTTTACTTGCTTGTTATTATTAACTTAGTTTGTTTCTGTCTCTCAACACCAAGATAAAAATATATAAAACGTTGATAAAACCAGTCGTTTTTTATGGCTCTGAAACTTGGAGAACAACTAAAAGAGATGAAGCCTTACTACAGGTTTTCGAAAACAGTCTTACGACAAATCTTTGGACCCATCAAAGATTTTAACAGCGAGGAATGGAGAGGGAGAAGCAACAACGAAATTCATAATCTGTTAAAATCGGATTTGAAAACGGGCATCTCGAAAGGGAATATGAATGGTCATAGACCAAGAGGCGGACCAAGAAAACTGTGGAGAGATAATGCCTAGAGAGACCTGCAAACACTTGATGTTACTAACTGGAAAGAAAAGACCCGCCAGAGAGATGAGTGGAGGCGGGAGATATCTGCATTAGTTAGTTAGACAGTCAGTCAGTTCATTAGTTAGACAGAAAAAGAAGCAGAAAGGAGAGGGAGAAGAAGAAAAAATAAAGATAAAAATTAAGAAAAAGGAGGAGGAAGGGAGTATAAGGCAGATGAGAAGAAGAAAAAGAAGAAGTGACAGCAGCAGCAGCAGAAGAAGAAGGAAAAGAAGGAAAAGAAGAAGAAGAAGAAGAAGAAGAGGAAGAAGACAAAGAAGAAGAAAAAGAAGAAGAAGGAAAAACAGAAGAAGAAGAAGAAAAAGAAAAAGAAAGAAGAAGAAGAATCAGAAGACAGAAGAAGATAAGAAGAAAGAAGACAGAAGAAGAGAAGAAGAAGAAGAAGAAGACAGAAGGAGAAGAAGAAGAAGAAAAAGAAGAAGAAACCAGAGGAAGAAGAAGAAGAAGAAGAGAAGAAGAAGAAGAAGAAGAAGAAGAAGAAGAAGAGAAGAAGAAGAAGAAGAAGAAGAAGAAGAAGAAGAATAAGAAGAAGAAGAAGAAGAAGAAAGAAGAAGAAGAAGAAGAAGAAGAAGAAGAAGAAGAAGAGAAGAAGAAGAAGAAGAAGAAGAGAGAAGAAGAAGAAAGAAGAAGAAGACAGAAGAAGAAGACAGAAGAAGAAGAAGAAGAGAGAAAGAAGAAGACAGAAGAAAGAAGAAGAAGAAGAAGAGAGAAAGAGAAAAGAAGAAGAAGAAGAAGAGAAGAAGAGAAGACAGAAGAAGAAGAAGAAGAAGAAGACAGAAGAAGAGAGAAGAAGAAGAAGAAGAAAGAAGAAGAAGAAGAAGAAGAAGAAGAAGAAGAAGAAGAAGAAGAAAGAAGAAGAAGAAAGAAAAGAGAAAAAGAAGAAAAGAAAGAAGAAGAAAAGAAGAAGAAGAAAGAAGAAGAGAGAAGAAGAAGAAGAAACGAAGAAAGAAGAAGAAGAAGAAAAGAAGAAGAAAGAAGAAGAGAAGAAGAAGAAGAAGAAGAAGAAGAAAAAAGAAAAGAAGAAGAAGAAGAAGAAGAAGAGAGCAGAAGAAGAAGAAGAAGAAAGAAGAAGAAGAAGAAGAAAGAGAAGAAGAAAAAAGAAAAAAGAACAAGAAGAAGAAAGAAGAGTAGAAGAAGAAGCGAGAAGAAGAAGAAGAAGAAGAAGAAAGAAGAAGAAGAAGAAGAAGAAGAAGACGAAGAAGAAGAAAGAAACAAGAACAAGAAAGAGAAAGAAGTAAGCAACAGAAGAAAGAAGAAGAAGAAGAAGAAGAAAAAGAAAGAAGGAAACAAGAACAAAAGAAGAAGAACAAGAAAGAAGTAGATAGAAGAAAGAAGAAAAAGAAGAAGAAGAAGAAGAAAGAAGAAGCAGAAGAAAAGAAAGAAGAAGAAAGAAGAAGAAGAAGAAAAAGAAGAAAGAAGAAGGAAGAAGAAGAAGAAGAAGATAGAAAGAAGAAGAAAGAGGAAGAAGAAGAAGAAGAAGAAGAAGAAGAAAGAAGAAAGAAGAAGAAGAAAGAAGAAGAAGAAGAGAGAGAAGAGAGAAGAAGAAGAGGAGAAGAGAAGAAGAAGAAGAAGAAGAAAGAAGAAGAAAAAGAAGAGGAAAAGAAGAAGAAGAGAGAAGAAGAACGAAAAGAAGAAGAGAAAGAAGAGCAAGAAGAAAGAAGAAGAGAGCAAAAGAAGAAGAAAACGAAGAAAAGAAGAAAAGAAGAAAGAAAGAAGAAGAAGAAGAAGAGAAAGAAGAAGAAGAAAAAGGAAAAGAAGGAAGAGGAGGAGCGGAGAGATCAGCATGGGAAGCAGAGGACGACTCCAAAAGAAGAAAATCCAAAGAAAAAAGTTTTCTCTGGACTTTTCTAGAAAAAGAAAAGACAGAATTAAGAAGAAGAGAAGGAGACATCAGAAGAAGAAGAGAGATGAAAGAAAGACATCATAGAAGACAGAAGAAGACCTAGTAGAAGAGAGAAAGACCGCAGCAAAGAAAGAACAGAAGAAGAGAAAAGAAGAAGCAAGTAGCAACGAGGTAATACACAAACAAGACCGAAGCAAAGAAAGAAAGAAGACGAGAAGAAAGAGAAGGAAGAAAAGAGAAAGAAGACAAAGAACAGAAGAAGAACAGTAAGAGAGAGAAAGACATAGAAAGAAAGTCTGTCAAAAGAAGAAGAAAGAAGATGAAGAGCAGAAGAGATAAGAAAGAAAGACATAGAAGAATGAAGCAGACAGAAGATAGAGAAGAAGAAAAGAATCTAGCAAATACAGACCTTCTGACTGACAAAGAGGCAGAACAGACATAAGAAACGAACAAGAAAGAAGAAAGAGTAGAGCAAGAAGATTAGAAACAGAAAAAAGAAGAAGACGCAAAAAGACAAAGACAGAAGAAGAAGAACCCGAAAAGAACGTTAAGAGACACGCAACAGAGTCAAGTTAATTTAAAAACAGAAAAGAAGAGAGGAGAGCAAAGAGAGAACAAAACCGAACAAGAAAGAAGAAAACTCAAGAAGCTCAGAAAGAAAAAGAAGAGAAGAAGGGAAGAAAGCAGACAAGAGAGCAGAGCCTGATCAAGAAAGAAAGAAAGAGACTTCGCCTGAAACGAAGAACAGAGAAGAAGAAAGAAATAAGAAGTAGAAGAGAAGAGAAAGAGGGAAGAAGAGAGAAGAAAAGAAGAGAAGAGAAACGAAGAAACATAAGGAAGTGTAGAAAGAGAGAAGAAAGAACCGAGAAGAGCAAAGAAGAAAAGAAAGAGAAGCCGTACGAACAGAGAAAGAGAAGGAAGAAGCAGAAGTGTGACCCCGTGACAGAAAGTTGAACGATGAAGACAGCAGAGAAGTGAAGAGAAAAGAATACAGAAGAAGAAAGAAGAGAGAAGAGGAAAGACAAAGAAGAGAACAGAAGAAACAGAAGTACAAGGAGAGACATGTAGAAGAAGAAGAGAGAAAAAGAACAGAAAGAAAGAAGAGAAGAATGAAAAGAAAGAGAATGAGAAGTCAGAACGAAAATAGTAAAGTCAGAAAGTAAGATAAGAAGAGAAGACCGTGTAGATGAAGTAAAAGAAAAGAAAGAAGATACGACATACGAAAAGAAAAAAGCAGAAAGAAAGAAGAAAGACATAGAAGAAGATACAGACAGAAGACAACAAAACAAACAGACAGAAGACTAGAAGAAGAGAGAAGTGAAAAGAAGATAAGTCCAGAAAAGAGATACAGTACATAGAAAGAAGAAGAAGAAGAAGAAAGACAAAGAAACAGACATAAGACAGAAAATAGATACAGACCAGACAGACATAAGAACAGACAAGAAACATAGAAGACAGTAAAACATACAGAAAGAAAGACCAGACAGAGAGAGAAGAAGAAAGACAAGAAAAGAAAGAAGAGCGTAAGAAAGATAGAAACAAAGAAAGAGAAGCGAGAAAACAGAAGAGAGAAGAAAAGATAGAAAGAAGAGGAAGGAAAGGAGAAGAAGAAGAATAGAAGACGAAGATGAAAAGACAGAAGAATGGAAAGAGAATGGAGAGAAGAAAAGAAAGAAAAGAGCAAGATGAAGAAGAGAAAGCTAGAAAGAAAGAAGAGAGACCCCTAGAAAACTGAAGAAAGAAATACAGAAGAGGCTCTTTGGAAAGAAGAAGACAGAAGGAAAAGAAGAAGAATATTCTCCGTTGTGTAAAATGCTGTTTTTGCTCGAGCTGTTCTACATGGATGCCCACCAGGTCATCCGCGAGAACTTTACACAGCTAAGCTCCACCGACGAGTTCCTCACCTTAAACCGACATCACATGATCCTGCTGACGGCCGACAGTATGCTGTGTGCTGACAACGAGATGGACGTCATCCAGGCACTGCTGAGGTAAGCTGCTCATGTCCCATTCTGTAGGAAAGAGGAAGGGGTTGTGGAGGGGATTCGGAGGAGAAAGATTAGGACTACTCGCTCCCTAACAAGCACAGACGCAACGGCATTCTGAAGTTCTGACAAGTTTCTTGCTGATGCAAATTCCACATTTCTTAACCGTAGTCCAAAGGTTCCATCGCCCAGATGCTGAGATTAGTGCATGGTGCAACACTGTGAACTGTAGAATTTACGATGAATGTATTCATCTGTGCCTGCAGCGTGTTATTGACTCCATTAAAATGGCGGGTGGCCGCTTAAGTTCAGAATGAGGTGTACTTGTTAGCGCCACCAGTGAACTGCAAGTCTAGCGTGGGACCGTGAATGGCGGCACATTTGGTAGCCGCCTGATGCTTCAAGACTGCTGGGAGTTGCCAGTTTTTCAGTCAGTTTCAAATGTTTCAGGGGAGGGGGGACAGTTTGTGTGATTTCCACTGGCACAGTAACAGAGAGTTTTTAGGGTGATCAATCGGCAGTGATGTTGGAATCTTCACTAACTAACTGCCACTGGCACAGTAACAGAGAGTTTTTAGGGTGATCAATCGGCAGTGATGTTGGAATCTTCACTAACTAACTGCCACTGGCACAGTACAGAGAGTTTTTGGGGTGATCAATCAGCAGTGATGTTGGAATCTTCACTAACTAACTGCCACTGGCACAGTACAGAGAGTTTTTGGGGTGATCAATCGGCAGTGATGTTGGAATCTTCACTAACTAACTGCCACTGACACAGTACAGAGAGTTTTTGGGGTGATCAATCGGCAGTGATGTTGGAATCTTCACTAACTAACTGCCACTGGCACAGTAACAGAAAGTTTTTAGGGTGATCAATCGGCAGTGATGTTGGAATCCTCACTAACTAACTGAGTAAATGCGGACCAATTAGAGTCTTGCTGAAATTAGATGTACTGGGCCAACAGGCGCAGATACTGCAGTGTAGCTGTAAACCACACCACAACGTGCCAACAGTCTTTCTAACAGCGAACATGAAGAGGAGGAGCAAGAGTACAAGGAGGAGGAGAAGAAGAAAAAGCAGAAGAAGAAGGAGACGAAGAAGAAGAAGAAGAAAAAGAAGAAGAAGAAGAAGAAGAAGAAGAAGAAGAAGAAGAAGAAGAAGAAGAAGAAGAAGAAGAAGAAGAAGAAGAAGAGAAGAAGAAGAAGAAGAAGAAGAAGAAGAAGAAGATGACGATGATGATGATGATGATGATGATGATGATGATGATGATGATGAAGAAAGAAAGAAAGAAGAAGAAGAAGAAAGAAGAAGAAGAAGAAGAAGAAGAAGAAGATGATGATGATGATGATGATGATGATGAATGATGAAGAAAGAAGAAAGAAAGAAAGAAAGAAAGAAAAGAAAGAAAGAAAGAAGAAATCAGAAAGAAAGAAAGAGAAAGAAAGAAAGAAGAAGATGATGAGATGATGATGAAAGAAAGAAAGAAAGAAAAGAAAGAAAGAAAAAGAAAGAAAGAAAGAAAAGAAAGAAAGAAGAAAGAAAGAAAGAAAGAAAGAAGAAGAAAGAAAGAAAGAAGAAAGAAAGAAAGAAAGAAAGAAAGAAAAGAAAGAAAGAAAAGAGAAAGAAAGAAAGAAAGAAAGAAAGAAGAAAGAACGAAAGAAAGAAAGAAAGAAAGAAAGAAAAAAGAAAGAAAGAAGAAAGAAAGAAAGAAAGAAAGAAAGAAAAGAAAGAAAAGGAAGAAAGAAAGAAAGAAAGAAAGAAAGAAAAAGAAAGAAAGAAAGAAAGAAAGAAAGAAAGAAAGAAAGAAAGAAAGAAAGAAAGAAAGAAAGGAGAAGAAGAGGAGAAGAAGAAGACAAGGAGGAGCAGAAGGAGGAGGAGGGGGAAAAGAAAAAAGGAGAAGATGTAGCAGTAGAAAAAAGAAGAAATAATTGACAGAGGGAGATATATGAGGTGGACAGAGAGATAGACCACAATAGATGGATAGAAGATAGACAGGCAGATAGACAGATGTAAATATAGGGTGCTACCTTTTAAGCTTGGCTCCCAGGTCGACCCAGCCTTGAGTGGGTACCTGGTGCAGTCCCGGGAAGTAAAGCTGGCATGATCTTGACCACATCACCCATCCGATTGGTCTATAAAACATAGGTCTAGCCCTATATGCCCTATATGCCTAAAGGCGTTTCAAGCTATCTTCCCTAAGCGTTGACCAGTGCCTACATCCGGTTTGTTTCATTACAACTAATCATGGCACTGAACACACACAGGTGGGTCAAAGTTCGTCCCGAAGAGAGGTCGGCCGATCTGACCTTGATGCTGCAGCACATCCGGTTTCCGCTGATGACGTCACGTGAACTCGACGCCCTCAAGGAGATCCCGTTGTTGAGGGAGAACTGCCTGGCCATGGCCTTGATCGAGGAGTCCAGGGCTTATGGGTGGGTTCCATCTTTGTTTCTAACACGTGTCCGTATGCATGGTGGTGGGTGCCATCTTTGTTTCTAACACTTGTCCGTATGCATGGTGGTGGGTGCCATCTTTGTTTCTAACACTTGTCCGTATGCATGGTGGTGGGTGCCATCTTTGTTTCTAACACGTGTCCGTATGCATGGTGGTGGGTGCCATCTTTGTTCCTAACACTTGTCCGTATGCATGGTGGTGGGTGCCATCTTTGTTTCTAACACGTGTCCGTATGCATGGTGGTGGGTGCCATCTTTGTTTCTAACACGTGTCCGTATGCATGGTGGTGGGTGCCATCTTTGTTTCTAACACATGTCCGTATGCATGGTGGTGGGTGCCATCTTTGTTTCTAACACATGTCCGTATGCATGGTGGTGGGTGCCATCTTTGGTTTCTAACACGTGTCCGTATGCATGGTGGTGGGTGGTGACTTCAGAGCTTCATGGAAGGATGCTTCATATGTGGGGAAAACTAGAGAAGGCCTACTGCCTCCCCAACAAGCATGTCGTAAGAGTCGACTAATTTGGGGCTTGATTTGAAGTCGGAGCCAGCGCGATGTTGACCACATCACGAAATGCCAATTGGTCTTTAAATGAATGGTCTAGCCCTATGTACCCGATACTCCTGAAGTCCAAGAAAAGGGTCCTTTACATTTACTTTTTGAAGTCAGAGTGTATCTGCCTGAGAGACAACGAACCAATAGTCCGCATATAAATAAGCCAAATCTGTGGAATAGATCTGCAGGCAATATTCAGGCAGTGCCGTTTTAACGCATGGACCCGACAAGCATAGAGGCCCTATGCTGATCTGTGCATGTTGGGTGACTTGCCAAACACAAATAAGTCAAAGTCAAGTCAAGTAAAGGACCCCATCTCCATCTACAGCAGCAAGCGCAGAGTTCCAACTCCGATGGTACCAGTAAAGTGTAAGTGTGTGTCCGTCTCGGCTTTCCATTGAGTATTAAGCGTTTGCCAATTTCTTTGGTCATTCTTCGCAGCACCGTTCTCCTCAGACCGTGAGGATCCATTTGTGCCTCAGCACTGTTCACTTAGTGTTAAAGTACCCTTATTTTATTTAGCTTACCACGCATCAGTTCACCACCAAGTGGTGCAGAACCAACCAGTCTATCTGTCTGTTCCTTTCCCCAAACACCGGCATTACCTGAAGAACATATCCAGAAGATGCCAACTACCTGGAATCTCTGAAGCGATGCTTGCCACTCTGCACAAAGCCTGCCTACCTACACCTTTCTCAGCCTGCTCTGTGAGTCGGTTACAATTATGACAAGTGGTTTTTCAAGCCAGTGGAAGACGGCACCGTTTTTATCGTACGCATATGAAGGCTTTCTAACCGTAACGCTCAAAAGGCTTTTCGTGATTGTGTATCTGTGAAGCTCACTCGTTCCACTTCTTCTCTGGACTGAGATTTTTCATGTAACACAGGAACATGGACTACACGGACCGAATGGCCTGGCCGCGCCACAACGCCATCTCGCGATGCCTGTTTCCGGCCCGAGACTTCATCCTGTGGACAGCAGACCGCGACAAGGGCCTCCACTTCTACTCCATCATTGACGGCCTCCACCACAAGATCACCAGCTTCGGCGAGCTGACGGCGCCCACCTCCAGTGGGTTCTTGTTCGACAGCACCTCCTCCGTGTGCTGCTATGGCGACAGCATCTATTTCACAGGTGTGTCAAACTATTTGATCTCTTAGTATGCGGGTATCCCAACTTGTTTTATATGTATATGAACATATTTTATAGGTATCCCGGCCTTTCTGTTTGTGTCCATATAATTTCATCTTAGTTTATTTGTTACCCAGCCTATTTCACATGTATGTGATCTTAGTTTGACGTACCCCTGCTTATTTCACATGTATGTAAGTTAACAAGTAAAGATCCCTTTTCACGCCTTTAGGCGCATCGGGCATATGGGAAGAGCACCCATATTTTTACAGACCAATCGGCACTCGGTGGGTTATGTGGTCAGCGTTACACCGGTCACATGTATGTGATCTTTGTTTATGTGTACCTCTGCCTTTTTCAAATATATGTCATCTTAGTTTATAGGCATACCAACCTATTTCACATGTATGTGATCCTATTTTATAGGTATACTTACCTATTTTACGTGTATGTGATCCTATTTTATAGGTATACCAACCTATTTCACATGTACAACCTTTTCACATGTATGTGATCCTATTTTATAGGTATACTAACCTATTTCACATGTATGTGATCCTATTTTATACGTATACCAGACGATTTCACATATATGTGATCCTATTTATAAGTATACCAGCCTATTTCACATGTATGTGATCCTATTTTATAAGTATACAAACTTATTTCTTGTGTATGTGATCTTGGCTTATAGGTATCCCAGACTATTTCACATGTATGTGATCTTAGTTTATAGGTATACCAGCCTATTTCACATGTATAGGATCTTAGTTTGTAGGTATACCAGCCTATTTCACATGTAAGTGATCTTAGTTTATAGGTAAAACAGTCTATTTCACGTCTCATTTTAGCTCACACGTAACCGAATCATTTTCACATAATCTATCAATTAATATGTATCCCAGTGTAATCACATTCAGAGGTTATGACCAGATTGGAAATAAAACGAGATGTTGGGGGGGGGGGGGGGGGGGAATAATATAAAACGACAAATTAAAAGGAGACAAATATGAAATATTTCGGTCACATTAAAAGACAAAACACTCTTATATATACACACACACACACACACAAACACAATAACTGTGGGGGGGGGGGGGTCTAAGGCAAAAGAGCAAGAAGTAGGAAACGATGCAAGTTGGAGGGCAATATCAAGAGATGGGCGAAAAGCAGTCTGTGAGGTTATGTGCTATTTAATACATGGGACGAAGTGTGTTAATGATCTACTTGTAGCTAACCATTGTTGTGGAGACGGCACATTGTTGAGTGAGATCCCAGTAATTGTTCTGATACATCTTAGTCTGTCACCACACCCAGAATGAGAACTGATGTGGTGGGAGTAACGGCAGCGTTCCGGTGGCTTGAGGGCGGCACAGCCCGACATGTAATTGTTAAGCAATCTCTCATAGGGCAGGCTTCGAACCATTTACTCTGTCGTCCACCGCCAGTGGTTCTCAACCTTCCCAATGAGCCGATCCCTTTAATGCAGCTCCACATGTCCCCCGTGTGGGTTCCGGGGTCCCATTGTGGGGAAAACAAGAATAGACCCACTGCCTCCCCAAAAGCATGTCGTAAGAGTCGACTAATTGGGAGCTTCCTTTGAAGTCGGAGTGCATCTGCCTGAGAGGCAAGGAACCAACAGTCTGCATTCAAGTGAATCGGATCTGTAAAACTGATGCACACGCAACACTCAGGTTCTGGAGCAGGACTGCAGTCCAGAAGTAGACAAACAACCAGAACTTTCCGCCAGAGTGTACAGCTGGTGAACGCGAAGAAGAAGTTCCACATGTGCCACCCTTCAAAACATTTCAATACATTCCCTCTAGATGTCGCCTCCCACCCCCCCCCCCCACCCCCCAGCATACAATTATTGTTGTTACGCCTTCATTACTTCAATGAATATTTGTTTTCCAATGGTCTTAGGCGACCCCTGTGAAAGGGTTGATAAGACTCAGAACACGAGCATATAAATATCATGGATTTTCTGCCCAGGTTAATCAGGTGTGTGGGGTAATGAACAGATTGATATATTGGCTGCTGCCGTTCATCTGGGCGATAAGCTAGTTTGTGATTAAGCAAACATGGGAAAGGCTGTCTGTAATCAAATGGACATAGGAAATTTATCTATTAATTCAGCTGGGGGACGCGGGGGGGGTACCCCACCGCTGAGAGGGAAACATAGGCGGACCTTTAATCAGGTGGCAACTACTAGCATATCGACTCTTTTTTAGGCTGCTGAAGAAGGAGACGAAGCAGTTGTGGGAATGTCCCGAGTGCAGTGACGATATTTCTTGATTCATTAGCTGTCTGCTAGTTTTTTTATGTGCATGGGCATCGTTCTCTGACTCTTGTCTCCAGGGGGCGAGTTCAACACCGACATGGCGTGGAGCGTGGACACCAGCACGGGCATCACGAAAATCTTGGCCAAAATGCCCAGGGGCCGCAAGTTCCACAGCATGGTGGCCGCTCGAGGCTGCATCTACTGTCTGGGCGGACAAGACAAACGAGGTTACACTGGTGGGTCTAGACATGGTCAGGCCTTCTTGCGTATCTCCCAAACAGTCACGTTCCAACAATGTCCTGCTCAGTCCCCTCACCTGCCACATTTGGTAGCCTCTCTTTCTCTTTCCCTCTCTATCTTTCCCTCTCTCTCCATCTTTCTCCCTCTCTCTTTCTCTCTCTTTCTCTCTCTTTCCCTCTCTCTCTCTTTCCCTTTCTCTCCCTCTCTCTCCCCCTCTCTCTTCCGTTCTCTCCACCTCTATCCCTCTCTCTCTCCATCTCTCCCTCTCTCTCCATCTCCCAGCCCACCTCTCTCTCTCCAGCTCTTTACTTCCTCTGATCCGATTTCATGTCTTGTTGCGTCGCTCCTCTAAAGTTGCTTCGTTTCCATTCTCTGTACAATTTACAGTGGTCCATGTAAGTACTGCATAAATTGTGCGCCACGGCGCCCCGGGGAGCCACGACCGCTTCACAGAATTGAAGAAAGGGGCGGCAACTAAGAAAAGTTTAAGAAACACTGACATAAAAGTTAAAGTTAGCTATGTCCCTTTACAGGACGTTGCAGAACCAACCCCAGCATTGTTTGGCTGTTGTGGTTTTTCTGGTAAAAATTACGTCCAGGAGTTTGACATTTCTTTCTGGACGGTAGGCTCTCGGTACCACTGTCGAAACCAACGCAAGACAAACCGTCCGCAGCTGGGATCGAACGTGGGCACCCTGGCATTACAAAGCGTGTTTTAACACCTAAGCCACAAGTATTACATACTTTATACTGTTGTTGTTTATTATTAATTTTTTGTTTTTATTCACGTGCATACATACTTGGATATCATAGTGTAGTCATTTCACTTTGTGTGTGTGTGTGTGTGTGTGTTGTGTTGTGTTGTGTTGTGTTGTGTTGTGTGTGTGTGTGTGTGTTGTGTTGTGTTTTCTTTCTTGTCGCTGTTCTGTTTATGAACACTAACGATCCCAGTGTCTTCTGTTTGTTTATTGTAAGTGGTTGGTAAGGCTGACTTGCACTTTTATATTTTTCTTACCATTTCCTGTCTTGGAAGAAGAAGAAGAAGAAGAAGAAGAAGAAGAAGAAGAAGAAGAAGAAGAAGAAGAAGAAAAGAAGAAGAAGAAAAAGAAAAAGAAAAAGAAGAAGAAGAAGAGGAGGAGGAGGAAGAGAAAGAAGAAGAAGAAGAAGAAGAAGAAGAAGAAGAAGAAGAAGAAGAAGAAGAAGAAGAAGAAGAAGAAGAAGAAGAAGAAGAAGAAGAGAAGAAGAAGAAGAAGAAGAAGAAGAAGAAGAAGAAGAAGAAGAAGAAGAAGAAGAAGAAGAAAAAAAGAAGAAGAAGAAGAAGAAGAAGAAGAAGAAGAAGAAGAAGAAGAAGAAGAAGAAGAAGAAGAAGAAGAAGAAGAAGAAGAAGAAGAAAAGATAGTGATCAAATCTGACATGGCAATGCTTCATTCTTTCAGTTCTGGAGTGTGTGGATGCCTACCTCATCGACAAGGATGTCTGGGTGAAAGTAGGTCAACTCTCTGTGCCGGCCTACAACATGGCGGCCGTCATCAGCAATGGCGCCATCTACCTGGTCGGCGGGGTTGACCACGCCGGGCAACCACTCCGACTGATACAGTGTTTCGTGGCCTTGAGATCAGGGTTGTACTCCGCCTTCAAGGTCGAGATCCCCAACATGCCGCCATCGCTGCTCAGTGCTAGGGCTGTCACTTCCGGTCTAGATGAGGCGGTTTATATTGTGTGTGGCCATGGGGAGGTAAGTGTGAGTTGTCATTGCATAGTGAAGTTTGTGCCCTTTAGTATTGCTTCAGCGTGCTTCAACTCTTTCTTAGTCTTAGTCGTAGTCGAGGATTCAAATTCACCGCAATCAGGTCACCCCACACTTGCTCCGTTCCTGTGCCAGTGGAAATTAAATGAAATATCCCTCGCTGTCTCATTTGAACAACTGTGAACAACCAATTAGTCCCCGCACAATCCCGAAAGATGCGCACACAGTCAATGCAAATGGCAGTGGCTAGAGTCACCAATGCCAACAATCGCCACAAGGAATACAGTCTATAGTTGATGGAAGTAGTTGGGCACGATAGGTTGGCTCTACACATGTAGAATAATTACGTAAAGTATTTTACCAGCTCACACGTAAACAGGCTACCGGCCATATTGAATACCTCGCTTCAACCGCTGCACAAATGAAAGGCATTCCGCATACATAAACACAGCTCACAGGGCTGCACCAAGGACTAAACTCTGTAGCTCAGGCATCGTAGATCACTGTTCATATGTGGAAACTGCATTAGCAAAGCGCTGTCCGGAGCAAAAATAACTTCGAAGCTGAACATTCTGCCATGCCTAGTCCTCCATTTTAAACCTGAAGTATAGTGTCTCATTCTTTAAGTACCTAGCAACGAGGAGCGGCTGGTCAAACGGTTAGGCCCACATGGATCTCCTGCTGGAGACCCAGGTTCGAATCTGCGGTAAAGTCATGGATTTTTCCGTTACTCTG